TTTTGACAATCTTTTCATGATTTTCATCACCTCTGAGAATCTGGACCCAAAACATTCCCCAGAGGAAAAACAGCCACAAACCCACAAATAAGGTCAATGAAAACAGCACCATCTGGCAGACAGCTTCTTCCTAATCTTGATGTCTCTCATTTTAAAACTGGTGACGGAAATGATTTCAGAGCAACAGGGGGTCTACAGCAGGGAAAAGTCAGTTTGAGGAGACTGGGTATGTTTGGGATTAGGGGGAAGTTTGAGGATGACTTTTTTTGGGTCTACTCTACAATGTATACAAGGTTACAGAAGAAAAAAGGAGAAGGAAATGGTGTTGTATGAACTGGAAACATGAAGGGGATTTCCTTCTAGATCGTGTTTTGATGTGCAGAGAAGCCTCTATACTGAAGGTTAGATCAGTGACTACGTCCATCTGACCTTGTGGCCCTGCATTCCTCCGTCGTCACTGAACGATCACAACCCTGTAATTATTTACCCACACTGATATCCACACACACACATGCTTTTCTCTCCACCACTGTCAATTTCGAGGGGCGAAATTCAGTTTCAATAAAAATCCACCCAATCTGGAATTTCACGTGAGGGTGAAAGATTTGCTCCTGCTGATTTTGTAACAGAAAGAACGTCGAACGTTAGAACGTCGCTACATCGCTACACTATTGACAATGGACCTTTTTTGCCCATGAAATGTGGCTATGCAACCACATCTTTTGATTTTATCTTAAAGGGATACTCCACCGTTTTGTCATATTAAACTATGTTATTCCCTTATCTACGACGAGTTGATGCATACCTCTGTCGTCTCATTCGCACTTAACGAGCCCAGTTCATTCAATATGGGCCAAGCAGAGAAGCGGCCAAACACCTCCACTTTTTCCCTATTTAAATACAGTTACACGAGCAGCGTAACTCGACCTAGGACGGTGACACAAAATAAAAGGACGTGTCAAGAGACAAGCGACAAAAGTTGAGAATTTTCAACTTTATGCAAATGAGAAGCGATTTTCGCGAGCGACAACCAATAGGAAAGAAGACTTTCAGTGAAGCTCACGTCACCGTCTCGAGTGCAGGCAAGACAGAAAGAGTTCGAGGACGATATATTTTATATGATTTGACTGTAACCACATACATGGATAATAAAATGATGCATGGAAAGAAACTGTCGACAGTCTCGGTGAGTTTAATTCATACATTTAACGTCAAATGTTTTAATTTTATGATGCACGTTTAGCACTGCTGCAGTTCATTTTACAATTTCCCCTGCATTACATTGACTATTAGACGCAATAAAATTGATTATTTGTCAAATTCGAATGACGTTTTTATAATTTGTGACAGTACGAGTGAGTTTAATTTGTTCATTGATTGATCGTTGATCTAGTAAATGATTTAATCCACTGAACACTGCTGTGGTAATATAAAAACACTCTCCCAACAGCATACGGTTTCTTTTTAGCCTTAAAAGTCATTTATTCCCAGTCAAATTAAAATGATATAGTTGTATACATCACTTCTGATGGTATTTTGTATAGATATGGCCAGACGTGCAGTCTACCAATAACATCAGAGCGACAGCACTATGAACGCCCACAAGCGACATCACCGTACAGAGACTAGCGACACACAGCGACAAAGTTGCTGGCGGTGTGAACGGGGCCTTTGGGAGCACACACACACACACACACACACATAGCCTATATATATATGGACTCGGCACATATATATCTATGGACTCGGCGCAGTAATATCATCACTCCGGAGAGATGATATTACTGCCCCGAGTCGAAGTGCTCCCAAGCACTTGCTGTGGTATTCCGCCATACACTGTATTATAGTTGTATGATTCAGTTTCTATATTACTGAAGATACTACAATAGTTATCCACTTCACACGCTTAGAAAAGCTGAACATTTTATTCTGTGTCACCGTTCTAGGTTGAGTTACACTGCTCGAGTAACTGTATTTAAATACCCAGATAGCAAACTGACATTGAATCAACGTGGAAACATGACATCGAAACAACGTTGATCTGACATTGTTTTGCTCATCGAATTAACGTTGAACCAACGTCAGACGCGTCATTCTTTCAAAACTAACGGAAAATCAACTTGAAATCAACGCGTTGTTTCAACGTTATGAAAGCAAACTAATTTTCGGTTTTCATTTAGCTTTGAATGCCGCGTCCAACGTTGGTTCAATGTTGATTCGATGAGCAAAATCAACGTTGTTTCATTGTCATGAGAGACGTCGTTTCCACGTTGATTCGATGTCAGTTTGCTGTCTGGGTAGGGACCCGATCTCACGGGAATTCGTACGAATTTTACGAGGTGGCTAATTCGTAACAATTTGTACGACCTCACTCGTACGAATTAGTACGATTTAGCTAAATCGTACATATTTTACGAATTAGCCAATTCGCATGAATTCGTACGAATGACCTACCCCTGACCCCGCCCCTAAACATAACCGTCACGTGGGTTTAGACAAATCGTACAAATTTGTACGAGTGAGGTCATATGAATTAGTACGAATTAGCCACTTTTGAATCACTCGTGAGATAGGGTAGGAAACGTGGAGGTGTTTGGTCGCTTCTCTGCTTGGCCCATATTGAATGAACTGGGCTAGTTAAGTGCGATCAAAGTGTCTCGCGCGCCAGAGCGATTGAGACGACAGAGGTATGCATCAACTCGTCTTAGTTAAGGGAATAACATAGTTTAACATGAAAAAACGGTGGAGTATCCCTTTAAGATTTTGCTATGTTAATGAAAAAAAAAAAAAAAAAAAAAACTCATATTATGTGACCCAACAGTTGACTCAAAGTGACTCCCTCTGACGCCCACCGGGCAGCCTCTAATATGAATATTCATTAGGGTCTCCTGAGGGGCCCCGGGGACTCATGAATTCACTCTTTCACACAGATGAGCGGTTAGCTGTGTGATAACCACGCTAACATGGAGTGACGTTTGGGGCCACACACATTCACACAACTTTGCTCTTAGTTTTTGCAGGCCGTATAAGTTTATTTATTTATTTAACACTGTCTATTTAGTTCAATACTTTAAATCGCTTGTTAATACCTTGTCGTTTATGTTTACTAGAGGCTTTTATTCATTTTCTTTGCTTTTAAACGGCATAAAACGTAAATCACCTCACTACAAATGTTAGATGTGCGAGACCTCAGAGGCGCTGAGACCCTTTCAGCGTCAGACTGGCTCCTGCGCCGCTGTTTTCTGGCTAGAGTTACTCCAGCGCTTTTATTTTGAGGTTTCAGTTGTGGTAACAATCTTTTCCCCTCGGTTTGTGTGTTGAGGAGGTTTAGGCTCTCCGTTACAGCGCCGTATCCGGTTTAACTGTGACCCACCCAGGATGAACTGACTGCTTTACCCCTGCGTTCATGTCTTTCCCTTTCTCTCCACACCTCGCTCCAGTCATGTCACCACTGCAACCTACTGACATAAATCTCCAACGCAAAACTTCCCTCTGAAACACCCCCCTCTGAGAAGGAGCTGAGCCAGTGTAATGCCTGACACCCATAGACACTGGAATGTGTGTGTGTGTGTGTGTGCACACTAAAGAAGGACAGGACTTATGAAATACATTGACTTCAGGTTTAACTGGAAAGTTAATAGTGCAGAGTGACATATATGTATTATATTGTGATATATTATATTTAATCATATTTTCAGTCTTAGCAACTGCAAGTAGCCCCTAACCCTCAATATGAATCTTTTGAACGCTATATTGACAAGATATACACTATATCGTTCAAAGGTTTGGGGCCAGTATTTATTTATTTTTTTTAAAGAAAATAATATTTTTATTTAGCAAGGACACATTAAAGCTGCAGTCCGTAGCTTTTTGGGGGTTAAAAATGATCCAAAATACATATTTGAGAAAATACAATAAAACTCGCTGTTCGATTTAAAGCGGTAAGCTTGTTAATACTGTTTTTAATTGGTACTGGTGGATTTCCGTGGGAGATTCGAGCATGTCTTTGCATCATAAAGTCATTAAACTCTGAAGACTGAAATACTTATAAAAAGAATAATCTGTGATTCTGAATGGCAGTTTCCACACCGGCTGTGACTGACAGCCTCACAGTCTCCTCAAACATTGTGTTCATCCGCACTGTGCCGTGTCGAGGGTGTCGAAGTACAACTGACTTAAAGTTGATAATTCCGCAAATGACTGCAATTGCAGATTTCGAACAGAGATGGCGACAAAGAGGAAAAACTGCGGACTGCAGCTTTAAATTGATTTATTTATTTTTATTTCAAATAAAGAAATAAAATAGCATTGTTTTTCTACTAATTCTTGTGCAATTCTCGTGCATGTGTCGTGGAAATCTTTTGAACTCTTGTCTCAGGCCTACAAGGAAGAAAAGGAATAGTCGAATAAAGTCGTTATTTTTGCTTTATTTCCGCACAAAAAGTATTCTCGTCGCTTGATAAACTTATAGTTGAGCCACTGTAGTCACATGGAATATTTAAACATTTTCTTTAATGACTTTCTGCGTCAAGCATCATTCCCTCGGGGAGCCTATGTAGTGATCCACCTCTCAAATTTAATCAAAAATATCCTCATTTATGTTCCGAAGATGAAAGAAGGTCTTACAGGTTTGGTACAGCATGGGGGTGAGTAATTAATGACTTAATTTTCATTTTTGGGTGAACTAACCCTTTAAAACAAATCTTACAACCCCCAAAGATTCGAACTGTATTTGTAGCTATTTGATCAAATTCAGAATCATTTGTCATAACTGAACTGTCAGAACCACTATTATTATATATAGCCTACACTAAAAAATATTAACAGACTAGTGTCCATTTATTTGTCATCTAACATTACCCACTAACGTTACACGAGATCCCAATGTCAATATTTCACCTAGAGAGGAGAGTGAGAGAGAGAGAGAGAGAGAGAGAGAGAGAGAGAGAGAGAGAGAGAGAGAGAGAGCGCGCACTGTAGTGTGTTGTAGTGAGGGTACCACGCGCCTCTGCATTGCATTAGTGCTGGAAACGTCACACAGCTGTTCTCGCTGTCATGTTGCGCTGATTATAGACGCGGGAAAACCTCAGAGAGCATGAGACCCATCCGAGTGGATTCTGCCTCGTCCAATTTAGCCTCGTGCCCGAGCAAAATATAAACACGCTTCGCTGTTCTTTTGCTGCAAGGTGACGCAGCGCCGCGGATCAGTTGGAGTGACGACAACTGCGGCACCAGTCCGAGAGACCCGGGCGGGCGCGCGAGCGAGCGGATAACGGTCCCCTCTGAGGAAACCCGGGCGCGGTGCTGATATGTGTCACCGTTCACAATGACAACGAGACGAAAGTCCAGCAAACTGCAGCTTCGGCGGTCAATCAGCGAGCAGCTGCGCGACTCCACGTCTAAAGCCTGGGATTTACTGTGGAGGAACATACGGGAGAAGCGACTGGCAGGTCAGTGACAGGACACGAATCAACTTTTATAATAAACAATGGGTCGTCCTATTAATCATATGCCCACTGCCACACGGGCCTGGGGAAGGTCAAGTTTTAGGTCACGGTCATTTTGTGCCGTCTTGACTGGGATGGATTTAATAAGCTTGCATGTGAATGACCAATGTTTGTGCTGTCTATAAATAATTAAAATCATTGCGCGCCGCCGGTCTGTTGTGCTCGTGAAGCTGCAGTCGCGCGCTGAAATGTCATTAGCTGATGTCTGCAGCCTCTCAACTCGATTAAATGCGCATTCCTGCACAAAAACCTATCAGGACACTCGATCCATGTCACGTTTTTGTTTTAAACCAATTTTAAAATATTCTTTACACTCTAAAAAGTGGCATGCTGAGCTGTGGAGTAAAGTTTTTTCTGAATTTCAATGTCTCATTTTGTTCTCATTTCGACCGACATGTTAGTAGTTGAACATGGTATAGTTCTCAAGTTCAACATGTTTGTTGGCTACACAATTTTTTTTAAGTTGCTGCCTTACATTTTTAAGTTAGGTCAACTTAAATTACATTAAATTGACTTAAAATTTTGTTGAATTGTGTAGCTTAGGCCTATAACTTATTTAAAAAGTTAAAAATTGCTTAACTTATTTTAATGAGTTAAAGCAATGTAAAAACATGTCTCAACTTATTGATCATATGTTTTTTCAGTGTATATATATCATTACAGCACAGTATAGATTTCATAAATGTCTCTTTTTACAACATTATTGTCCTCCACATACTGAAATATCAACTGTATAATCTAATATCAGCTGAAGAAATTTTCAATCTTTGAGGTAGTTCATCTTTGAGTTTTTGTAGACTCAAAGATGAGTTTTGTAAAGTCGTAGTTTTTATTATTTTTGGACCAAAATGTATTTTTGATGCAACTAACCCACTGATGTCACATGGACCACTTTGATGATGTTTTTATTTCCTTTCTGGACATGGACAGTATACCGTACATTTTCAATAGAGGGACAGAAAGCTCGGACTAAATCTAAAATATCTTAAACGTGTTCTGAAGATGAGCGGAGGTCTTACGGGCTTGGGACGACATGAGGGAGAGTCATTAATGACATAATTTTCATTTTTGGGTGAACTAACCCTTTAAGAGTATAATACAGTTTCAATTTGTTTAGGGTGATGGCATTCAAATCTTTTGGGGGAAAAAAGCTAAATATTTTAGAACAAAGCAAAATGACAACCAGTGATCAGCAGTGTTGTTGTATAGAAAAGAGTTTTGACACTTTGTTCCACATTGAATAAATCAAAAAAGCGTCCTGAGGATGATGCCAGTTGATTTGTGAAAGTTGTGATTCTGTTGATTTGACTACATTTAGGTGAATGACTTTTGAATTAGTGATCTCTAAAATAATTTTTTTGGTCAGAATAATGATACCCTTATTTGAATCAATAATCTGAGGGTCCGTGACAGAGTATATATGTTTTAGAGACCTAATTATGTCTTTGTTTGGACACTTAACTGTTTTCCGTCATGGGGAATAAAGTAATTCTAGTAAAATAGAGTACATTGTTGCATGAATGGCAGGGCTCTGCTTACTCATTTGTGGCTTTGAGTGAGGAAATGACAGGAAAAGTTCATTTACAAGTAATCTGGACTCAGTGAGTGCTGTACAGACTCTCTCTCTCCGTCTCTTTCTCTCTCCTTCAACCTACTAACCTCATTCTAAACATAGCATTTAAATATATATATATATACAGTATATAAACCAAACCATTTTTTAAGCTTTGTGTCTGTTTAGAGTGGATTCAAGTGGATATTGAGCCCGTGGACTCTTGTTTCTAGTAAAACATGTGGGATTACTGTAAGCAGTGTCCCCCCGATTTAGACCATGAACAACTCGCCTCTGGTCGACCCTACTGAATTTAGCTCATAAGTGAATACTCATAATGACACGGGTTTATTTTAATGGATCAAGTTCATGTTTAGGTCATTTTGGCTCTGCCCTTATGAGGGTGTCTTGGCTGGACTGAATTCTGTGGAGGTTATGCAGCCTGAAGCAAGTCCTCAGTTGAACTGAATCAATTATGAATGTTTTTCACCCATTCACCATCAGATGGCAGTCATAGTCAGGTTCTCCCTCAAGGATGTCAGTATGCTTCAACAGCATCTTTCCTCCTAGTCTCACATATAGCCACTTCTAACTGACGGGAGAAGGTCTGGACTCCATCGTTGTGTTATTAAGAGTGACCACGGTCAATCTGACTGCAGTAGATGTGAAAGATATTAATAAAAATGATATTAATTCTTCCAGCTCACATACCTTTATTTACTTCCTGTTTTCGGTCGAAGTCCACAGTAGTTGAGTTCGCGCGTGCGATTGTTGGTAATTAAATGATGTCAACATCTGATTCGGATGAACTATCTATTTGAGCTGATATTCTCAGTCAGAACACCACACAGCACCGTCATCGACTGTTGCTTACACTCTTAGAAGAAATGTTTCTATTTAGAACCAGAAATGGTTCCATCCCGCGCTTCATATATGGAACTCCAAAATGGTTCTATATAGAACCAATTTTTTTGGTAATAGGTTCTATTGGCCAAGTACGGAACCCCAGGGTTCTATATAGAACCCAGAGGAACCCTTTTTTTAAGAGTGTATAGAACCTTTTAGGGGTTCCAAATACGTAATAGAACCTTTTAAAGTTCTATATATAACCTTTTCTTCTAAGAGTGTAGTTACCAATGATCGTGCGCGCAAACTCGACAATTGACTACCGTGGACTTCGACCGAAAACAGGAAGTAAATACAGGTATGTGAGCTGGCTGAATTAACATCATTTTTATTAATATCTTTCACATCTACTGCAGTCAGATTGACCGTGGTCACTCTTAATAACACCACTCACATGGCTGTGCACTCGTAATGACAAATCAAGGATGTTAAGAGGCTGAAAGCAGGTTTAGAACATGCCCCATTAAAGTCAACAGGGTGCGAATTTTAAAAAGAGGATAACGCGGTGTAGGCAACACCCATTTTTTGTCGTTTTTGTTTGTACTGACAGCACTCCAAATGTACAATGAGCTCAATGTTAAAATTGACCGAAGTTTTCCTTTAAGCAGAAGTGAGAGACTGTAAGTTTTGAATGCTTATATTTTCTAAATGCAAATTTTGTCATTGTTTTGGAACACACCAGCTTATTCATAACCTTAAAGGGATACTCCACTTTTTTTTTGGAAATAGGCTCATTTTACAACTCCCTCAGAGTTAAACAGTTGAGTTTTACTGTTTTCGAATCCATTCAATGAGACCAGAACCTGTCTGTTTACTGATATTGTTCTAAATATCAGAAAATCGTCTGAATACATTAGAAAATGGTAAAAACCCAACTGTTTAACTCTGGGGGAGTGGTAAAATAAGCCTATTTCCAAAAAAAAAAAAAAGTGGTGTTCATACTAAAAGCTAAAAAAACACATTTTGATTTCAGGGGGGCTTTAAACACCGTTGTCATTGCTTTAATTAGATTCTTTCTGTAAATCGGAGTTACCGATTTAGATTTCAAATATTTAGCATGTTACATGTTCTGTAAAGATGCATTGAGATCTCTGAGGATATTGCGATAATTTCGGACCGCTCCTTCCTTCCCATTGCATCTCACTTTTGTTTCTACTAAGATTTCTTTTCCAGCAGAAGGCATGTTGGATGGTGTTTTTTCCCTAGGTGTACCATTCATTTCTCTTTTCTTTGGCTGAAACATCCACACCCACACACACACACACACACACTCTAAAATCACTCTGAAGCAGGTTCTTGGCTGAAGTTCAGTTGGCTCGCTGCACAGCAACCCTATTGGCTCTTCTCGCAGTCACATGACCATTGAGTGGGTGGTGCAGATGAAAGTGTGCACTCAGATCAGATCAGTACTTACTTCATGCCTAGGTGTGTTTGAGTCTTTATATTTGAAAGTGTCTAGCGATTATATGACAAAAGGATCACACTTCGTAGAGTATTTCAGCAGTGTGTGAAATTTAAAGGAGTGACTAAATGACAAGTTCAAGGGAAGCAGTTTTGGCTGACTCTGCACCTGTGGACAGTGGAGAGATGGACACGATGTTGACTGACCTCTTAGACGAGTGCATTGACAGTGAGTGTTTGGGAAGCATGACTCCAGAGACTCAAGATATATACCTCCGACTGGACAGCCACCGCAGGCGTTCTGGACTACGCCTGGCCCGTATCATAGCTAGGCAACAGCTGCTAAAGAAGATATCTCAAGGTATTGTGCTAGTGTTTTAGGGATAGTCACAGTTTGTACTCATCTTCATTTGCACTGTAAGTTTGTCTTAGATGTTTCTCCTAAAATTAAAAGACACTTAAAATGAGACTACAGTAAGAATATAAACCTATTTGGACAGCATAGCAGCCATCAATCATTTGGATTGGGAAAATATAGCTAAATATGATGGCAAATGTGAGTTCCTATTGAAATCTGTGTCTTTTGATTGCAGCCTTTCTTTGGTATATTAGCAAATCCTGAGACATTTCAGTTTCACGTGTGAGATTATTAGTCTTTTTGTTAGTATAAACGTCTGTATGAGTCAACGTGTCCATTTCCTCTCCATTTATTGTCGTAGTTGTCTAAATACATTTAGATATTAAAATGAGTTTTTTATTCCTACAAGATATCTTTGTTTTTGAAATGCGAGTGAAACTTATAACATGTTCAGTCAGTGTGCCCATTCTCTTCTAATGTTTTATTTTTTGTTCTTGTTTACGTGAATATGAAGCGCTTTGCATTCAACTTTGACGTGCCAAGCTGATCTAATGTTTTCTCAATCGCAATACAGACTTTTCTTGTGTTTTCTGGATGTAAAGAGTCTTTGTGTTTCTGGCACTAGAGAACTCCAGAGTATTATCCACAAATCTACAGTATTATTAATGAATAACCCTTTTATTCTTAATGCATATGATAGCAAAACACGTCACTGCATTACGTTCT